TTGTTTTCATTTCTCTCTTCTTCTTTTTCTCTTTTTTTTTCTTTTTCTTTTTTTTATTTGTTTGTTTTTTTAAATAACTCAGCGAGGTTCCAAAGAGGGTAATCAAAGAAAGGTAACAGGCTCAAAAGGGTTAGCAAATGGTTGATGGTGTTTGGATAGCGAGAATGAAAGCCTTCGTCATCCCAATCAGAGAACATTAAAGCTACATAGAGGCTCAAACAAAGTACCTTTTGATTGCATCTGCATTGACGGTTGTTTCAGAGACATTTCCTTCGATGTTTCCCAGGTACAACGCTCTCTTTTGCAGTACTCTCGTTATAATGTATGGACCTTTCCAATTTTGAGCCAATTTTTCCTTAGCATCTTCATGAGGTGGGATGATACGTCTCAGAATGAGTTGTCCTATTCCAAATTTCCTGGGCCGCACTTTTTTGTTGTAGACATGAGTCATTCTTTGTTGGTACAACTACCCCTGGCAAACTGCGGCCATCCATTTTTCATTTATCATAGTCAACTGTTCCAACCGAGTCTTGACCGATTCATTATCCTCGATCTCAGCTTCAACAATGATCCGAAGAGAGGGAATCTCAACTTCGTTCCAATTTTCTATTTATTTTCTTACAAGCCTTGTCTTCAAAATATTCTGCTTCTTGATTCATTATTTATAGGTCTGACAACGTCTTAGGATCTGGGCATGAAGTCCGCAAGCATGTCATGTTATTAAAATTTGCATTTACAGAGCTAAAAAAAAAACAAGAAAGGTGATAAGATTAAGAAAAGAGACATTCCTTGACAATGAAATATTAATTTCATTTATTTTTTTTTAATTTTTTTAAAGATAGAAGGGTTTACATGAGAAAGTAAGAAAATAAAGTAAAACATCCAAATTATACCCTAAAATAATCCGGAAGCAGAAAAGACAGCAAGACCGGCTACCGAGACTCCAGTCTGAAAGAGAACTTTTCAGGTTTGGCGAACTCTTTTCTTTTTTTTGCTTTTTTGCTTTTCTTCTGTCTCGACAATGGTTACCATGGCCTTCAGTGCCAGATAAAATTCCTCATCATCACAGATCATTACATTGACTGGCCCAGTGTTTTGAGCAGGCAACAGATTGTTCGTCACATCAAGAGCCTCTTCGTCTCGAAGAACGATTCTTTCGGCTTCAATCAAGTCTTCAACTGCCCTCTTGAAGGTCCAAACAGTCCTCAGTATCGTGTCCCACTGCTCCAGAGTGGTATTCACATCTAGCATCAACTTGGTGCGAGGGGGACTCAGGGTTTGGCCGGTTCGGTGCCACTGGCTACAGTAGACCTAGCCCGATTGCCTTTTGAAACAAACTTGAATATGATTCACCAAAGGGGTGAACTGATTCCTTCTGAGGGGCTCTCTTGGGCAAGAATTGCATTGGAGAATATTTGGTTGGAGATTATATGGAGCTTGGTAGGGACGGGCATTTCTGGGATGTGGAGCTCAGTTTTGTGTATAATGCTCTAGTCGCGTGTAAGGTTGCATGTTCATCACCGCATAGGGAGGCGGTGCCACGACATAAGCATCATCTTGATGGGGATAATAGTGTTGTGGGGCCTTAGGAAGCATATATGATTGGCTGAATAACCTGTGGGGCCCCTCGAGCTCAAAGCCTTCATGGCTCCCTCTTCCCTCCTTCTGTGAACCATTTTGAACGGTCTGTGATGTGGCCTTAAAGACAGCATGACTCAAGATTCGGCCCGTTTTTAAACTAGTTTCGACCATCTCCCCAATTTTGATAGCCTTGGTGAACGGATTACCCATAATGGACATCATGTTCTGGAAGTAGTCTGCCTTTTGGGCATGTAGGAAGACCATAATCATTTCTGCTTCGTCCATTGGAGGCCTTACCCTGGCGGCTTGCTCGCGCCATTTGACGGCATATTTACAAAACGTTCCGCTATTTTCTTTGTCAAACTAGACACAGTGTTCTCTTTTTGGATTTTTCACTCTTGCTTTCTTTTTTTTTTTTTGTTTTTTTATTTTTATTTTCTTATTTTTCTTTGTTTTCTTTGTTATTTTTTGTCACTCTTTTCTTTCTTTTTCTTTCTTCTCTTTTTTTTCACTCAGTTTATTTGATGTAAATGATCGAATCCGATGGGGATTGCCTACGTATCATGACGCCGCATGAATCAGATCTTGCGTAGTTCATGGCAGATTAGGAATAAAGTAAATAAACTAACTCCCTTTTTTTCATACACAATTAATCCGACAAAAGAAAATATTTTGATTTGATTTTCTTTTCAAATGAAAGACTTCTAAAAAGAAAAAAAATATTTTTGGTTTTAATTTTTTTTATTTGGGATTTTCTAAGAAACGACTTCTAAAGAAGGAATTAAAGAAAAATATTTTTGGTTTTTTGAAAATTGGGATCGGAACGGATGAGGCTTGCCTACGTATCTCACATCCGGTGAGAATCAGACCCGCGTAGTTCGGTCAAAACCGACTATGTTCTTTTTATTTTTTTATTTTTATGAAAATTAATCTTCAAAACCCATATGCACTAGACCACATCATTTTTTCTCTGTTCGTTCAACTGATTTATGCTAAAGTCGGTCGACATCAAGCCTTCCAAATAATGCAACAAGTAGCACATAACATGACATAATAGTTTCAACAAGGTACCTGTCCTAAAACAGAACTCGACCCCTGTGTCGAACGCTGCTAAGTCAAATACACATGATGCAAATAAAGTGTAGCCTACTAGGGATATTCATTACTTGTGGCTTGTTCTTCTAAGTTTCCAAATCCTAAAGGAGGTGGTATCTAGACCTGGCTTACCCGGGAGGACAACCTGAGCCGAGGAGTGTCAAGCGTCACCAATAGTAGAACAACACTGGCTAGCTAACGGCTCTCCCGCCTAAGCATATGTGACTAAATCCTTCACAAGAAGCTGGTAGGTTAACTGGCTTTATCTCAAGAAAGAAATTTTGTGATACTGGTAGGCAAACACAACGTAACTAACTATAAGAAGACTCAGATGGGTGCGAGAGGATACAATTTATATGTACAGTTTAACAATATCAAAACGAAAAAAGTGGACAAGTAACACATTAGGACCAAATAAATCACAATATATACAAAAATTAATAAAGCCAAACAAAGTCAATGTACAAGATCGAATTCTTGAGAGTTCCCCAACAGAGTCGCCAGAGCTGTCACACCCCTTTTCTACCCCCAAAAGATATATATATTATTGGATTGTGGGTTAAAGAGTTTTTCCAATTAAAGTGACATTTTTGAAATAGGGATTATTTTGTTATTCAGAGTCGCCACTTGGAATTGATTTTTGGTGTTCCAAGTCACCTTTTATTTGAATCCCTAGTCAAAGGAAGGTTTGACTCTTTTATTATTGGTCTGCAAAAATAAAGTCCGGATAAGAAATTTTATTGACCGGGGAGAAGGTATAAGGCATTCTCTGAGTCTCGTGGTTCTAGCATGATCACTTTATTGACTTAAACTTGGCTTGAATATCTGAATTATTACATGTTTTAGAACCTTTTATACATTACCGCTTTTATTATTTATGAAATTTGTTTGAACAAGTCGTGATGTCGCGTACTCGTTATTTTTGTACACATTGCGAATCGCGCCACGTGAAACGCTCCCGCGACTTGCAACATATTAATTTTTATTATTATTTTAAGTTATAGTCAAGTCACGTGAAACACACACTCTAATTGGGAATTATGTATCACGACTATGACACGGGAACCGTACCTATAGTCGCGATGATTTATTTATGTAAAGCACGCCTAAAGTAACTAGCGCACTTGAATTATTTTTTTTAAAAACTAATTTGAGATTATTGTAAGGCCAAGAATTTATAGAATTCACTCATGATATATATAAATTATTGGAAGTGTTCATAGCTTAGTAAAAGTGTTAAAGTTCTTAAAAAAAAGATGCACTAGCTAATCCATGCACATTTTGTAGTCCAAAGTATATACGTTTTTTTCAAAATGATCGAAGATGAATTTCTTTAGCATTATACAATCTAACTTTCCAACACGGATGAACCTACGTACCTATATATGATTGAAATCTAAAACGAACAAAAAGTACAATAAATAAACTAAGCACTTCAGTTGTCAAGAAACCAAAAAATAATACATAATTTTACAATAAAGACGATAACAGAAATGAATTGAAAAGTTTTATGGGTCAAGAACAAAATATTTTGCAGGAAAGCAAAACTTCGATTGACATAAGGGTGCATCAACAATTAATACAGTATAACGTTGAGAAGCTACATTAATTTTATCAAAATGAAATCACATCCATATCTAAGAAGGACCACAAACAGACAAAGGTAAAAGATTGGACCTTTAATAACAAAAATCTTTCTTCTATTAACAAGCACCTCCGGTGGAATTACAACAGCTGAATCGACGCCAAATGAAACCAACAGTGAAAATACGTCTGAATTCGAACAGAAAATGCAGCGGCGCTGGAACCTCGCCAACAACTCGAGCGGAACTAATGACCAACGAACGGAGCTAGCGACCTACGAACTTTTGAATTGGGGTGCTGCTGCTGATTCCTAAGGGAGACTCGCTGACATTTGGTCCAATTTGGGACTTGACTTGGACATTTGAACAAAGCAAGACTTTAAAAGAACTAGTCCAAATTAAATCTTCTTTCTTTCTTTTGTGATTTTGATTTTTTTTTATTGATTAATAGATGAAAAAATAAAAATACTACTCCTAAACTTGAAATAGCAGCTCAAAATTTACTTATCAAACTAATATATTTTTTGGAAAATATTTTCTTTCTTTGTAAATGAAGATAAAGCTTATATTAAAAATGTAATTTTTTTTTATTATTTTCAATTTTTCTTAAGTAAAATATATAAAAGGAGAAATAAGAGTTAAAATATATTTACATACTAAAAAATGACGAAAAACTCAAATATAGTCAAAAATTAGGTGCTCACATACTCAAATCAGGTAATGTGTTCAAACACCAAATCCTTTTGGGCGTTAAATGTCGTTAGCAAGTGTGATTATTTCATTATATTCACCTCTAATTTCTTTAACCCATTTGAAATCTTCAGGAGTAGAAAGTAATTTTTCCAACAATATCATCGTGTAAAGTCCTCGGTGTTGACGGTCTCTTCCCTGGGTAAGTTATTTTTTTGAAATTCTTAATTTTTTGGTGATTGTATGTTTGGTATTCCTCTCAAAATGCTGAAATGAGATGTTGTGTGGTATGGGTCTGTTATTTTTCCTGATATTTTTCGACAAAATTCCAAAAAGCAGTTTTCAACTGATTCTTTTGTTTTTTACGCGATTCTTTGTTTTTACGCGATTTTGTGTTTTTCCTTTTTGTTTATTAGGTTGGTTTATTTATTTTCCTCGTGCTTTTTTACTGTACTTGTTAAGGTTGTAGCTTTCGATTTTCTTTTAGGTTTATGCTTAGATTATCGAGATAATTGGGTTACTAGCAAAACCCTAATTTTGATTTTGATTTTTAAGTATGATTAATTTGATTTTGATTTGATTTTTGATCCACAATTGAATCTCCAAATGCAAAAACTGCTTTTACATCTACGTTTTTAGGTACATGCAGTTAGCGAGAATAGTTTTTTCTTCTATTTCACTTTTAATTTCTCTGACCCATTTGAAAATATACAGGAATCAGAAGTAATTTTTCTTGAATAGCTATCTCCTAAAGCCCGTTCTCAGTGTCGACTGCTCTTTCACTGGGTAGGTTGAAAACTTCTTTAGTTTCTCATTTTAAACAATAGTTTGTTTCTTTCATAAACCAATGCATTAACTGATATTCTCTGCGTTGACAAAAACAAAGTTAATTGTGTGAGCTCTGAAGCCTTGGTTATTGCCTTATGCTTCTAAGTGCTTTACCTAAATTCACTTTATTTGGAGTACATTAGCAATTAACCACACCTCCAGAAGCCTGCAAAAGCTCTTAGGCTCATGTAGATGGTCAGAGCAACCCAAATTCAGACGAATTTATAAATTGATGAAAGAATGAACAAGCATACAATGTTGAATAAAGCCATTGTAACCTGAACATATATAGCATTCGCTTTTATAAATATTTACTAATTAATAAAAAAGGAAAATATATATACTGACATTGTCTTCAGATTATAATCAAGGAAGATATATATGGTCATAAGGATGTTTTTCCACTTAAATTAGGATTTTGGAGGTCTTGAGGGAAGGGAGAGGGTTGATTTTTGGCAGTTGATAGATTTTCAAAGACTATAAACTTTAGATAAAGCGATCGAAACTTAAGTCTCAAGTCTCATGCATGATAGAGGTTTTAAGTTTTTTGTTTCCCTTTTTTGCCAGTTTCAAATACTTATGAGATGAATCAGCTATGATAAAGTTGTCATGAATCTGGAATGGAGAGAGTTTAATATTTTGATTCTTGTTATAGTCTTGGAATTGACATATAAAATACTACTCATGAGTAGTGACACCAAGAACTGAATCATGCCAAGGCATATTTTCTTGCTTATGAGGAATAAATAAACCTTCAAAACATTTAGGTCATATTAGTCCCATAAACATGCCATGCCACTTCATATGCCTCTTTCCATGAAACTTGGTGCTACTTAACTTCAATGTGGTTCAATTTCATTGATTTGTTCACACTCTTTATGAATCTAAGAGCTAAATTGTCTTGTCTCATATATTCACTTACTGACCGATATAGACTCTATTTTCCTCTTTTTTTCACTTCATACCTCATTAAATATTTCAAAAGATCCAATCACTGGTCCTTTAAATTGTTATTTTTAACATGAAATGGTTTAACATGGGAATGTCTTCTCTGCTTGCAGTATTTGTGACTGAACAGATACTCTTAAGATAATGGCAAGCTACAAAATCCTTTTCTCAAATTGTTTTTACCTGTGGAATGCTTTATTTTTGTATTTATATTTATGTTGCTTGATAAGTGGATTTCAGAGATTAATCATCTAATATTTGATGTCTTAATGGCTTCACTATATCATCTTGGCTGAATATTTCAAATCTAATTGAGATATTTTATGAAAAATAACTACGTTGGACAGTAAACATTTCCCTCTTTGACTAGTATAGTATTATTGTATTTTCGTTTGATGCACTGTTTGTATTGTGATCCTTCTCTTAATAGGAAAAAGTTGTTGATACAAGTATAAATACTCATTGTGCCTTGAACACTAATGAGCCATTTGTGTTGGCATCTCAGTCTGAACAAGTCTTCTACTTAGAAGACATGGTTGATAAAGATTGGCTTGTTGTTGTAAAGAAAAATCCTCGCGACCTTTTCAATATGCCTTAAGTTGATGATAATTCTGTAGCAGTTGAAGATGAAGCATTACTGAATGAAGAAGCTTATCAACAAGAGGAAGTTGAATTGAATATTTTGCAAAACAATGACCAGGAAAATGATATTGATGTGGCTTTACATATGGACGATGTTGAACCACAAAGTATTGATGCAAGTATACAAGCTTAGACAAGTATGCATGAAAAAGAATGTGGAAGTAGACAAACGGATCAGCATAGAAATAGCCAAGAGGATTCAAGAACAACTGGCTGCTATCATGTCTGGAATGCAACAGGTGATCTACTCTTAATGTTTTTGTACTCTTCCTTCCTTCTTGACTATTCTTCTTCTTCTTTTTTTCTTGAATTTTGGTTCCTTCTTGGAAATTCTTCTCTTCTTATCTTTTGTGAGGCAAATAGTGTGTTTGATAAAATACCTTCTTTTATGAGGGACATTATTGCAATAGAGTTTGGATACTTGTTGATCAACCAAGTGGTAATGGTCAGGTTGAAAATATTCCTACAATTGGATAGTTGTAGATTAAGATTTAGAGACAGTGTTTTATAAGCCCTTTTAGATATGAACATAGTGACCTTTTTGGATAAGTAAAAGATAAATTGACTTTTCTTATAGTTGGATAGTTTGGTGTAGAAAGTAATACTATCGCCTACAACATTTGGACTACAGAGAGTTGTAGGCGATGTTATTTCACTTAAGACAATTGTTAGAAGTACTGATGCAAACAAGATGTCAAATACTTAAATCTTGGAATTGTAGTTGTTAAGTCTGAATCATACATGTTAAGTATAAGGTCAACATTAGCGTCCAACATACTACTGAAGGAAAGTCACAATAGATAAATGTACATGAGTTAAAAGTTATTTTATTCACGCAGTAAGGTAGTGTTGAAAGATCCCATATGTCCCTTACAATTGAGTTGGCTCAGATATGCCAATCAATACTTGCAAGCTTATATTTTAGCCAAATGTTTTAGAAAAAACAGTTCCAATTGAAGAGAACAAATGCAACATTGTACAAAACAAGTTCTAGTAAGACGATTACCCATTAATACCTTCAACGGTTAAATCACCCATCTAACAGTTCTAGCCTTAAAAAATCTTGGTGAACATACACAATTAAGGGAAGTTATTTTGGTTTTTCTATTACTCATAAAAAGATTAGCTTGGCTTTGGAATTATCAAAAGCTTAACTGCACCGCACACACTCAAACAAAGTACATGTATAAACATTGTCCCTCTTTCATATGCTAATCTGTTTGAGTCTTTGTGATCGAACACCACAAGCATTACATGTGAACATCACTAATAGACTTCTTCTTGGTAGTTTCAAGTTAATAGTTGCTTCCTGCAGAAAAAAATGACATTTAAGTGGACAAAGAGCAAGTAGTAATTCTTTTAATTGCAAATTAGAAGATCTAGTTATTCTTCGCCAAATAGGGGGTCTAAATGTCTCATCTTCCAATTGAAGCTTAAGTCGCTTCTTCGGCCTAATGTTCTTATCTGTATCTTTTTTCACTTTGATGTTATCTTCATGCTCTAACAATGTGATACTGTATTTTTTTATTTAATAATAGGGACAATGTTATAACACAATGGTGACAATGAAGGAGAAGATTGAAGCTAAGGCACTCAATGTTTTACTTTTTGGTTATATGTAAATACGTACAATGACAATGAAGTATTACGTAGTATATATGCGGAGGAACTTGAAGCTAAGGCACTCAATATTTTACTTTTTGGTTATATGTATATGCGTACAATGATAATGAAGTATTACGTAGTGTATATGCGGAGAAGCTTGAAGCTAAGGCACTCAATATTTTACTTTTTGGTTATATGTATATGCGTACAATGATAATGAAGTATTACGTAGTGTATATGCGGAGAAGCTTGAAGCTAAGGCACTCAATATTTTACTTTTTGGTTATATGTATATGCGTACAATGATAATGAAGTATTACGTAGTGTATATGCGGAGAAGCTTGAAGCTAAGGCACTCAATATTTTACTTTTTGGTTATATGTATATGCGTACAATGATAATGAAGTATTACGTAGTGTATATGCGGAGAAGCTTGAAGCTAAGGCACTCAATATTTTACTTTTTGGTTATATGTATATGCGTACAATGACAATGAAGTATTGCATAGTATATATGTAACTCAACTTTTAGTAATGGAAGTATTTAGTATTTGGTTTAGGAAATTCTTTTGGTGTTTATGAAATACTATTGGATGATCTTGAACTTATATATTAATATTAATATATAAGTTTCAGTTGCTAGATTAATATTAATATTAATACTAGAGTAAACTCTAATATTCAGTTGCTACTAGAGTAATATTAATGGCGAGTTGCCACTGATGGCTTATCATTGTCAGTAGTGTTACCACTATTTAGTAGCTTTATTAGATTTTCCACTGATGACTTATCATTTTGTGGAAACTAAGTCGCCACTAAATGTCACTCTACAGTAGCGCTATTAGAGTTGCCACTGATGATTAATTATTTTTGTGGTGACTAAGTCGCCACTAAATGTTACTCTTCAGTAGCGACTTCAATAAAATCAGTTTGGTGGAACTCTTTCTTGTGGCGAGTACATTTAGTTTTTATAGCGACAACATCGCCACAAAATGTATACATTCTGTGGCAACCTCATGTTGTCGCCACTAGTAACATTCAGTAATGGAAGTACTTGCAACAGTTCCATAGTCGCTACTGTAAACATTTAGTGGCGACTATCGATGATTTTGTTGCGACTTTGGTCGCCACTAAAAGACAGATTTCTTGTAGTGTGTGAAGATGTCTGCCCTGAAACTGTACTGGAGATCTCAGACAGCTTTTAAATAGATTCTTGCATCCAGTTGTTGAGGCTCGCAAGTGTCTGAGAGACCCGCAAGGTAGATAATGGACCTATCGACATAGGCACCAACCTTAGAGCTGGTGTAGGAACTGGAGTAGGGGCTGAGGGTGATGGCTCAGGGATGGCAGCTCTAGTACAGGTGGAAGGTTCAACTGAATTAGACGGAATAGGGGCTACAACTACTGGCTCATTAGAATGGCCAGCAGTAGTAGAGGTCTCTTTGGCTTCCTCGAGTCTTGCAGCTTGTACCACTCAAAGGGACCAGTCGGCTTGACCTTGGTGTCAAATGGCCTAGACTCTACCTTGGCAATAATCTGTTGGGGTAGGGGTAAGATGTGTTACCCTGCTGTGCCACAAGTAAGACATTGGCTGACATCAGAGCACCCACATTGATCAGGTACCCAGCAATAATAGAGGCTACCAATATAGCTCTTGATAAGTCAGGTTGTTCTCATTCAAGCACGGGTCAAGTCTGTTGTACACAAAGGTTTGCCATCCTTTTGCCTCAAAGCTCATAGTGTTGCGGAGGATTGGCACCCCGGAACCTATCCAAGGGGTAGTAGGTCCAGGGGCAAGAATCTCAGCAAGCCATGGTATATCCTCGTTCTTCAGAGCCAACTTTGCCAAATATTCCTTTAGCTCCATATCATCAAATCCAAGGTATGCATTCAATATGTGCTTATCAAACTTGACTTTCAGGTTGTGCACTTTGGTGATTTTTGTCCTTTTGAGAATATGCGCTGTGATGGCGTAGAATTCATGGACAAGATACTCTTTCACATCCACCAGCTTCTCAGTAAATTGCATTCACACCTTCCTCTTTATAAACTGGTCTAAGACTGCAGGGTTGTATTTGTCTAAGTCTTTGAGGAGTAATTGTCGTTCATGAGTCAGGGATCTCTCCATCCACCACATCAGGAAGTCTATGTATGCTTGCAAACATAAGAATCGGTTTTCCTATATCACTTTCTTCTTAGTCCAAGCCATGCCTCCCTATGCACTTGATTCCCCTCTCCCATCATCTGGGGCATCATCAGAATCAGAGTCTGGAGCAGTTGCGTTGGACTCATGATTGTCACTAGCGAAGCCCTGGGAGGTACTGTGAGATATGTAAGGTACATCTAGAGACTCAAACTAACTTGTGACCTAGATTTCTCTTCATTTCACTCTTCAGGTAGAGACACAAAATTCCCTTCTGAGGCCTCCCTATATGGGGCATAAGAACTCGACTCGGAGAGGCTTCTACCTCTTCCATGGCCTACAATGGTTTTCTTTGTAATGGCCCTTTGCACACTCGGGTGCATGGGACCTCTGCCTCAGCCCCTTAATGATTCTCCCCTTCCTTTTGAAGACTCCCCCCGTCCGCTTGACCGCAACATTGTCTGTGTATGCAAAAAGAGATCTTCCAGTTAATATACGTGTTGAAAAACAGTTAAGAGTCATATAAACATTTGAGGACACCATAGAAGCAGTGAGGTTTCAAGTATGAAACATGCAACAGGCAAGGTACAAGGGCGGTCCGCACATTTTGGAGTGTGGTCCATAAAGTGGAAGTGCAGGCCCCACAATTCCACCTACGAGCCGCACTTCAACACAGTTGTGGTAATTCCTCAGAGCAAGGTCTCTGACGGACAATGCGACCTCATTCTGCGGTCACAAAATTCATCTGCGGTCCACACAAAAATATTTGCGCGCTGCACTTGAGATGCTTAGAGAGTAGGTTCTCTGATTATCAGTGTGGACTTCCCTCTGCAACCTCATAATAAAACTAGCGGTCCGTACATTTTAATGTACGGCTTCACAATCAACTAGCCTAGCAAGTTATCCCAACAAATGTCTTCGGACCATAATATTTCAAGTGCGGTTTGCATAGACAAAAACAGTACGGCTACAGGTCTTTTAACCAATGTTATGCAAAAACATGATCAATCCTACTAGCAACATGGTATACGCATGAAAATCAATAACCCAACCCCATCAAAGCATGCTTTTGACAAATACCCAATGCTAAACTACCCCACATGGACATATTAAAGGAATGCAATAATAGATGGCCTATAAAGAAGTTAAAAAGTTAAAATAAATTCAAAAATAAAAACAATAAGATTGCAGTGATGCATACCAGATAGTGCTATAGACTAAGATCCAAGTGAGTGTGAAGTATTGTTTGTGATCCAAGGTGCAAGAACGTGGGCAACTCTAAGAGTAACAGTATGAGAGTGAATATGGTGAAAAGTGTAAAAGGATGGGGTATTGTTCTATTTATACTCAGAAAAAAGTGAGGGTTTAAATAGACGAGTGCAGCCGCATAATTCTACGTGCGATCTACACTCTGTTACCTGGTTGTCAGTGAAGCAAGTAGTTGTGTGTCCCGTACTTTTTCAAGTGCGACAACACTTCTGATACTTAAGTTCTAACTACTTCTCTGATTATGCCCTTTTGCGATCGCATAATTCGTCATGGTCCGCAAACTCACTCCGCACTGTTGGGAGAAAAGTTCAGAAGACCTTCAATTTAGCACCTGAGATGATCCTTGCAATTGCAGTCAGCATATGAAATCTGGGGCCGCGCAAATTATTCTGCGGTCAGTAACCCCTTTTCTGCGGCCGCACTAAGAAAAGTGTGGTCCGTAGTTTTGCCCTGTATGACACAACTTCAACTATCATTTCACATCTAACACTAATCCCTATAGCACACTTCAAATCAAGTTTAAAACAACAACAACATCAAACTAAAAGAGAAAAAAGAAAAAAAGAACTTAGGTTGCCTCCCAAGAAGCGCCTTATTTAACGTTGTGGCACGACGCAATTCATAGTATCCTCAAGTGAAGTAAAGAACTGCCACCACATAGCTCTCTCCAAGTTTTCCCAAATAGTGCTTCACTCGGTGACCATTGACTCGAAATATTTTATTATTCTTGTTCTTCAAGTCTAAGGTACCAAAAGGTGTCACACCAACAATTTTAAAAGGACCACTCCATTTTGACTTGAGCTTCCTAGGAAACATTCTCAACCTTGAGTTGAATAACAACACTAAATCATCGACTTTGAAATCCTTGTTCTAAATATACTTGTCATGAAGATATTTCATCTTTTCTTTGTGTAAGGACGAACTTTCATATGCATGATACCGGAACTCATCCAATTTGTTTAAGTGTACAACCCACAAGTTCGCGGTAACATCCTAATCAAGATTTAATTTCTTCAAGGCCCACATTGCCTTGTGCTCTAGTTCCACCAGAAGATGACAAGCTTTTTCGAACACTAACCGGTATGGGTACATTCCGATAGGTGTTTTGTAAGCTGTCATATATGCCCATAGAGCATCATCAAGCTTCTTAGACCAATTCGCCTGATTTGCATTCACCGTCTTGGACAAAATACTCTTTATCTCTCGATTCAATACTTCCACTTGACCACCTGCTTGTGGGTGATAGGGAGTTGTCACTTTGTAAGTGACACCATACTTTTCAAGTAAAGTGTTGAAAGCCTTGTTGCAAAAATGTGATCCTCTATCACTTATGATTGTTAGCAGAGTACCAAATCTTGTAAACATATTCCTCTTCAAGAAAGCCACCACACTTCTAGCATCATAATTGGGTAATGTAACAGTCTCAACCCATCGAGACATATAAACCACCGCGACCAATATTTAGATGTTTCCACAAGAACTCATGAAAGGGCCCATAAATTCGATACCCCAAACATCAACGATATCAATCTCCAAAATGGTGGTAAAGGGCATCTCATGTTTCTTTGAAATTCCACTAGCCCATTGACATTCATCACATCTTTTTACCTACTCGTTGCTCAGTGTAGAGAGTGGGCCAATAGAAGCCACAACTTGTTCTTGCCCCACCATGATGACCATCATATAGTGAAGAATGACAAGCCTCAAGAATATCACCTTGCTCTTTCTCTAGCACATACCTCCGAATCACCCCATTCGTGCAAATCTGGAAAAAGGTATGGTTCATCCCAATAGTAGTCTTGACAATCCTTCTTGAGCTTATTCCTTTGGTTTGAAGAGAAATCATCTAGAATGATACCACTCATAAGAAAATTTGCCAAATACGCGAACCATGGTACTTCTTTCATTGAAAGTGCCAAACGTTGGTCATCGGGGAAGGAGTCATTGACTTCAAGGCCATCATGTGGTCTCCCCTCCTTCTCCAAATGAGACAAATGGTCTGCCACTTGATTTTCTTGGATGTCAATATCAAACTATTGTAACAAAACCACAAATCGCATCAAACGAGCTTTAGATTATTATTTTCTGAGAAGATAGCGGAGTACCGCATGATCCGTGTGGACAATAACTTTAGCACCCATCAAGTAAGGAC